TTACTATAAAATTAAACAATACCAAAGCAATGCAAAAAAAGAAAGAAAAAAAAATCTTTCAGATAAAAAATAACCTAAATCTTTAGCTTTCCAAAACTTTGATTACTTGATCAGCGGTTGGGGAGAATAGTTATTTCCAATACATGTGTTCCGAAAAAAAAAAACAGGAATTTAATTTTTAACATATTAAAAACTTTTAAGGGCATTATTTTTGAACATTTCCCTGACATAATGAAACAGTATTTGATGTAAAAAGCCGGACCAAATTATTGGCTGTGAAATAAATTTTAGTTGTAACTCAAATGTATTAATTGATTTAAACTGTAAATAAGAAAAGGATAATTCCTCACTAAAATATTACATGATTTACATTCATACTCACAATCAGGAAACATACAATTCCTACCTTTTCTTTCTACTGTTGTGTCACCTAATATCTATAACGCATTTTTAAAAAACAAATATTTCCCAAATGATAAGAAAGTCCTCACATCACTAAAACTTATCCATAAATGACATGCCGAAAAGGGAAGTCATGCATCAATTATAAACATTGCACTGACGATGAAACTAATTCTTGAATATATCATTTGAGCCTTGAGCGCTTTACAATATTCTAAGTTTGTAAGAGAATGATAATCCCTTACTTCATGATAAGTACTCGCTAACGCTCGTACTTATTCATGAAGAAAGGGATTATCATTCTCTAACATATACAAGGGGACCTAAAAGAATTGCCAAAATATCAATGGTCAACTTTGCCTGAGGGTTTTAAACAATAGGATTAACGTCAGTATGGAGATGTTCTCCCTTATTAGTATCTGTCATTGAAATTAATATTACAAGTATGTTATACTACTTGTATGATGAAGTCTCTATTAGAACATACTCACCCCTTCTCGTCCAATGAAAAGTCAGTTTTTTCCCTTCTACTTTTCATAGTACATGGCTTTCCATGCACTATAAAATGCTTTACATGAATGACTTTTCATTGTAGATCAATAATGAAAGTGAACTCTTAATAACAACACTAACGGTGTACAATCCCCTGAGGCATTTTCCTTGGGAAAATAGCCTACTGATTAAAGATGAAAGAGAATAGAATTATAAAAAAACATTTTGAACTTTGCAAATGTTTATCATGGTACATATATATAACAAACAAAAAATGAAATGGGGGCAAAGATGTAGGTAAAATAATCTTTTATTCAATTTTGATAGCAGACATTCGAGTCAATTATTTTTTTTTCTTTCAAGAAAACGATGTCAGACTGCTGATATATAAAGCAAAGGATTTTTTTCGAAAAAAAACCACAATTCATGTACATTCATCAATAAAAAGTAAGCATCTGATGTTGAATGGTTGTAATTCAAATATTTATAGAGTGAGTTTTATAATTATCAAAAAATATACAAACTTCAAAAAGCTTTTATATTATATTGTGTGCTTTTTAAAAACAAGAAATTTAAGGTATATAAGTATTAAATTTTACCTAAAGCAGAAGAAAAACTCAATGTTTGAACAATTTATCCTTTTTGTCCTCACAAAACTATGTTAGTGCTATTTCATTCCATCCATTGAAATGATCATTACTTATGTTATACATTCCTTTTATTAACCTAGTTAACGCTTCATTATAAAAAGTGAGTTCTTATTAAGGTTTGCATATTACAATGGGAAAGGATAATATTGTAAGGTCACTCGAAAGTGTGAATATGTTCTAAATTGGTCAGACAATACTTGGTCATGTTTTATGAACATTTAAAACCCTCGGCTACGCCTTGGGCTTTAAATCTTCATAAAACATGACCAAGTATTGTCTAACCTTTACAAAGTGAACTCTTATTTAGGTTTGAATATTACAATGGGAAAGGATAATTTTGTAAGGTCACTCGAAAGTGTGAATATGTTCTAAATTGGTCAGACAATACTTGGTCATGTTTTATGAAGATTTAAAGCCCTCGGCTACGCCTTGGGCTTTAAATCTTCATAAAACATGACCAAGTATTGTCTAACCTATAAGTAGTAAATCTTATGACTGAACTGATATTTGTTTCAACTTGTTTGACATTATTCATCTTGCTGACGGCGTAACCCAGGTAATGATTGACAGACACTAAGGGTGATTTAACCATGTCATCCCTTCTAGTGTGAAAATTTGTAACATTTTCCCTGTGGAGGCAAATTGATATTGAACACACCACAAATTGATATTGAACACACCACAAATTGATATTGAACACACAACAAATTGATATTGAACAGACCACAAATTGATATTGAACACACCGAAGTTTGATATTTAACTCACCACAAATTGATATTGAACACACCACAGTTTGATATTTTAATTAACTCACCACAAATTGATATTGAACATGGATATTCTGACAAGTTTTAGACAGTTATCCTGATATGTCATAAAACAGGTCTCGGTTTGTTGAACAACAAGACAGAAAGAAGAAGAAAGTACAAAACAATAAGTGTAAAAAAGCATTAAACTCTAAAATGTCGGTATTACAGACAACAACAACAAAAATTAGCAAAGAGTCAAACAATTAAATTCTACGTCAGAATGTAACTTTCATTTCGTGGGCCAAACCGAGCGAAATTTTATCAAGTAACCTAATATATTCAATGATTGTAATGCCCGAAGACTGTTTTCCCATTGAAGTGAATAATTAAGAAGTAATTCATGGAAGCCATAGATTTGTTGGAAATTCACACATGGCCTGGGCCGTGATATTCGAATTTTATCCTGAGCGTTAGCGTTTAACGAATATCACGGCCCATACCATGTTTAAATTTCCAACAAATCTATGGCTTCCATGAATTATTTCGATTCTAATAGCACAAATACGGTCATTTAAAAAACTGACGCTAGGGTTGGTATGCCGTGTGTGTGGCTGTTTTATTTTACCCCCTGTTAGATAAAGCTAAAAATTTCTAACAAATCTATTATAGCTTGCATGAATTATTTCTTAAATAACCGCTATAAAAAATGTGTTTAATTCTTTTAATTCTCAAACCCAACATTTGCCATTTTTTTCTCGTAAGCTACCATCAAATCCACTGTTGACATTTCGTTACTATGGAGCCGCCATGTTGACTTGCTGAAATCAGTAAATGTGCGAATAATGCAATAGAAAATAAAATAAAACAATACCTACCTCAAAACTCCATTTTAATGCAATATTATCCGAATTTGGAGGGTTAACGCAACGGAAAAACCTTCAGCTTAGTCGTATGGTTTGAAATGACTTTAATGCGCCAAAAACATGGAATTTCGCGGAATTTTATTTTATTTTTATTTTGTACATTTTTCCGAGCTCTAATGCATTAATTCTTTTTGTTATGCATCAGAATAAGAATAAAGGTTCTGTAGTTTTTTTTTCTAATTGCAATTTTTAACACAGCGAAATCGGCTTAGCGTTTGCACATAGGTTACGATACATGTGGATTTACGTAGGAGGTATATTGTAACAGCCATTATTATGTACATCTCTGAGTCTGCGCTAAGTATAGATATATCGAGAATTTTATCACGGTGCTGTTTACAAAGCGAAAGAAGAACGTCATATTAGAATCTCCAGTACTGCACTTCTATCTCACGCTAACTGTAAATGACTAACAGAAAATTTGAGGTTTAGATATGATCCATATAAATAAGATGTGGTATGAGTGCCAAGGAGACAACTCTCCATCCAAGTCATATGGCAAGAATATCTTTATATTGCCCAAGACCGAGAGGTTGAGCATTTTCTTTTAAGGGGGCTAAAATATCGTCTGTCTTCTAAAATTATTGAAAAGGATGGCGTGAAGTCAACAGCTATTTCCTTTCATCATATAGTTACTCTTCTAGGTCTTCTAGAAGCGAGAAAGATGATTTAGAATTATTGGACTCTTTCTCAATGTATATGTAAGCGAACAATTAATCCTGGTAAAATGAGTCTGGAGCGGATGCAAATTGATATAGCGTAATAAGCTAGCAGCCACTCCGCTAGCACCCAGTTTTCAGATATGTCTATGAACCCAAAAGTTGCATAAGATTCAAACTTACTAAAACGTTTTTATTTTATATTACCACTACAATAACTGTTTTAACTTCAATTTAGCCGTCGAAAACACTATTCAATGAATTTTGAAATTTCATTTCCTGTTCAATATTTTAAAAACAATAGTAAAAACTATGTGCTGTTAACGTCGTGCAGGTGCTGCACGCTTTAAGACTTCACTTCAACTGTCAACACCGAAAAAATGACATTATTTAAATGTTGGCCAAGTTTTCTTGCTACATTGTATCGACTTTTCCATCAGAAAATTTTGTGCGATATTGTTTGAAATAGCTTTCCATATTCTCGGCATCCTAAAAAGTAAAAATATTTCTACGCTACAAGAATACAAAGTTGCGTTCGTACTTTAATACTTTCATGTGAAACAAATCTGTTTTAGCGAATCATTCTTTTTCTGTAACAGTGGGTTTCGCTTAGTTTTGATGACACGCAGGGTTTATTTTAAGTAATCAAAGTATGGTGTGCAAGGACATAACTTATAAGCTATATTACCAAATTTTAAAAAAAAATCCGTGCTATACCCCACCTGGATTTTTCAGTCAAGCATGCCTAAGGGTCCCAACTTTCATTTGCACCTAGTGTGGAAAAAAGTATTGCCTCAGAATTTTTTTTATTAACTTTGAAAGTTAGGGTGGGGTAGGGTGTCGGACCCCAACTTTGGATCAATTTAAGAATAAAATCCGTGCTATACCCCGCCTGGAATTTTTCAGTCAAGCATGCCTAAGGGTCCCAACTTTCATTTGCACCTAGTGTGGAAAAAAGTCTTGCCTCAGAATTTTTTTTTATTAACTTTGAAAGTTAGGGTGGGGTAGGGTGTCGGACCCCAACTTACAGAAAGATGTTCGTCAGTTTATTTTGCAATTTCATACAAATAATCATGTATCAGTATCACAGTTTATATATGTAAAATGTTTTATTTAAAGAAGTAGATTGTCATATTTATACTAGATAAAAATACTGCATTTTCGTAACGATAATTCATACCTCACTTCTCAATATGAAAAATAGAAGGCCAAAATGATTAAAAATTTCACCAGATATTTAACAAACAGAATACAGTTCTTTATCAAAACATGAAAAAAGAGAAGTAACTGTTAGAGAATAATTTGTAGAATGGTGGATAATTTTCTTGTTTGTTATAAATAACGAATCAGTGTCGCACGAGTTTGAGAAATGTTGATGAAAATTGATTGACTACTGAACGTCTTGTGAATAATAATAAAAAATGCATATCTGTAATTTTTGTAACATATTTGAAATCTTAAGAACATAACGTACACCAATGATTCACCAAGAAGAGATATTATCATAATATCGCATTAGCAAAAAAACTTTTCGAAGTATTGTTGGTCCTCAAAATATTATAATTATATCTCAAATGAAGAAAATTAATACAACTGCCTTTAACCTTCAGTTTTGCAATTTGAAAAAAAAATTACTCCAATTATATTCTATTTTTATGTGGGTTATTTGATTCAGAAAGGAAACCTCAGCTAACTGACATAATAAAAAGGTCATATGTGTAAACAGCAAAGGAACTACAATTAGCATATATAACATTTACGGTATATATTACTGCACCAGATGAGCATTTCGACAAATAATGTGTCTTATTAAAATGTTAGAGATCATACACTTTGATGATTTCATTGTTTTGAAACCTTATAACATATGTAATGCGGAGTTAAAAAAAACAATACAAAACCATAAAAAGAGGCAGGAGACACCAAAGGGGCAACTAAAAGCATAAGTCGAAGAAAAACAACAATACCATGACATAAAATGAAAAACGAAATAAAAGCACGAAAAAAGGAAGATAATCGCTGAATATTTCCTTGATAGAAACATTTGTTGGTCTAGTATTGATATAAATTCTCCGTGAAGAATTCTGTAACTATTTGTAACTAAAACATCTAAAAGTAAAAAATCTTATTAATGATTGACGAGACTGTAGCTTCCAAGCCTTTCCATAATGTCGATTTCACATTGAAGTTGAAGGGACAACAGGAAGTTAATACGAAGCAGCACAAAGTACAAGCTAGCCACCATAATTCGTTGTCATTTCGTGTCCGTTGTAGTATGAACTAGTATGCATGTCATATGTGTCTGCTGGACAACCATCACAACGGCAAACTGCTGTCACTTTCCAGGTTACCACATCACCAAGGGGAGAATATATACCCATCAATACTCGCCCATTCTTAACTGCAATACATATTATTTGAAAACGTTAAAAAAATAATACACAAAAACCCACGGAACACAGATCATATAATAAAATTATAATGTTATGAAGAAAACCTATTCTAATTAAAAATATTATAAAATATGTAAAGGGGTTCGAATACAGTTATGTTTCTAATCTTAATATAAAGTTGGTTATTAAATCATAACGGAAAGATAGGCAAATATTACATGCACGTTCAGGACATTAATATAAACCTTATCTCCCTTTTTCTTTATTTTTTGGAAGGAAACAGTTCATGTCTCTCTAATAGTGAAAGTATGAAGAACTCATGCTTGCAAAATCCGACTAGAAAGATATTATATAGCTTATTTAGTTATTTCTGATAATACAGTAAACAATTTCAAAAGAGGAGGGAATGATGCTGGCAATTAAATTCGAAAATTAGAATGTTTGAGCATTTTGTCACTGGACACACTTCAGATGATCGCGAATGTTTGTCTGATACAAGTTGTAACAGATCTAAGGACATGAGTAACTCTGCATGCCATGGTAATACAAAAGTGTGAGTACAAAATTAGTAAAAACTGGAAACTAGAGATTAAGTCCACTTGAAAACCTAGATATTCATAGGATAAAGTAATTTTTATTTAGGTATTCTTTTACTCACCCTTCCATATTACAGGAGGACTATCGTCGGGCATGTAAAGATGTGGGCGACACATTTTTGGCATTTCTGGAAATACAAAGTGCATACTTAATATTTCATAAGTTGTGTTTATATTACAGAACATTTTTTTTGTCAGTAATTCATCGACAAAGAACGTGAAATCATCAAAAAATGCTAACATTTGTAATAAAATATAACGGCCCATACCATTGGAAAATTTCCAACAAATCTATGACTTGCATGAATTATTTCTTTAATTTATATATGTTTCTATGAATGAAAAGCTATAATTATGTACTTTTGTATGATTGAAAAGCTATATTTATATACTTTTGTTTGATTGAAAACCTATCATTATGTACTTTTGTTTGATTGAAAACCTATCATTATGTACTTTTGTTTGATTGAAAAGCTAAAACTATGTACTTTTGTTTGATTGAAAAGCTGAATTTATACATGTTTGTTTGAAAGAAAAGCTATACTTATTAGATTTATTTTGTTGTTTTTAACTTTACCTCTGTATGTGTCTTCTGCTACTTCATCATAAATATCTTTGGCCAGGACCATTGCTCCACCATGTGCCATATAGGATAGAATCATTAGGTCGTTACAGATTGATTGGTCCACGTGTGACCATTCTTCCCAATTGTGCCCCAAACTGAGATACCACAGATACATTGCAGTCTGTTCGGCATGCGAATGGTCACAGTCTTCTGTTGTATCGTTAAGTATGGTTTCCGGGAAATCTATTATGTTATATAGCATATTTTCCAAGTTTTCTCCAACATCCATCGGTAGATGGAATAAACCTGTGTGAACCATCATTAAAGTAGAAGCAGCATGATAAACCAAAGAAGACATCATATATCCTTTCATCATTTTGGTTTGTCCCATTGTCTCTTTTATGATTTTCCCTATTCCTTCCAAGGCAGGTCCCAAGATAGTTCTAGTCATGTTATGAGGTATTGGCTGTCCATACATTTGAGCTATTCCTATTCCATACTTAAGCCCCATTGCCATTTGCATTCCCATGGCCATTCCTTGAACTTGACTTCTCGTTACATCATTTGAAATTCCAAAAGTATCGTTTCCAAACATTTCAATCTCGGATTGCAGGTCGTCATTATTTGCCATGGCATTCATGTTCATCAGCCTCGTTTTCAAGTTTTGCATTGTACTCATCCTTGTGGAATCTAATGTATAATCTGAAGAGTCCATAATTCTTTCCATCTTCATTCGTCTTTTCATTATTGGAATTACTGTTTCACATGGAAACTTTCCGTGATTATGCCTCATGTACACTATTGACAACTTTTTCTTCAATAAGACAAATTTTGCCAATCCTACCTGCTCGATGTGGTTGTCATGGTTATGAGTATCTCTACCTTGCCAGTAGCTGTCCATTGCCTAATAATTATAACAAAGGAAATTCCTTGTTATTCAAACGAAGGACCATAAATGTTTTTTTATCAAATTATTTTACGATTCTTATAACACGATTTCTATCGTTTCCCTCATTGTATAGAGGAATTTGCAAATGCAAAATCCCCTACATAGATATAAAAAGATGTGGTATGAGTGCCAATGAGACAACTCTCCATCCAAGTCAAAATTTATAAAAGTAAACCATTATAGGTCACAGTACGGTCTTCAACACGGAGCCTTAGCTCACACCGAACAGTAAGCTATAAAGGGCCCCAAAAAATTACTAGTGTAAAACCATTCAAACAGTTCACATTTGAAACCGACGGAACTTAACAAATTTGCATCATCTAAATCTACATAGAATGGTTGTTATATACATGACAGTTGTTAACAAATGCAATAAAGAACTTTTCTGGGTTTTTTTTAGTGCAATAAAGAATTTTCTGTTGTTAAGGAAAAAACGCTACTCTTTTTCAATATAGCAAGCCTTTTAAAAAGACTGTTTTAAACTGATAGTACATACATAACGGAACTAAAAAGCAGATAAATAATGAAGTGTACGTGTTCCTGTTTTCGAGATATAAGCCATTGAAAATTTGGCGGGAAATGATTTTCTCTGGACTTTTCATACAATTACCATTGGCACCTTTTTTCATTTAAAAACAATGAAAAATAACAAGGATTTTCAAATATGGCTTTTTAAACTATGTAATAAAATTATGAAAAGAAAAGTAGGGATAAGCTGTCAAAATTTTTCTTGGCAATACAAGGATAAAACCAGAGAATTCCGAATATCTGACAAAAATTCAAAAACAAGACGAGCAAACATCATTAGATGTCTCATCATAATCATTAGAATATAAATACCTGATAGTGGTACATCTTGATTTCATGACTGTGTTTATCTTGAAATATCATATTAGCCTCCCATCCAATTTTCATTGTATTTGAAACTACCATGCAGAAGTCTTTAGCCACTAAAGTGACAAAAAAACAAACACAAGACTAAATAGTTTGTCGTTTACATCAATAATTGAAGAAACTAACAATTTCGATTTGGACCTCGACAGATCAATGAGTTAGGTCTGAAAGGTTCACACTGAGAAGACTTGAGTTTTAGAGTAGTTCGATCCGTAAAAAACAGTATTGGTCAGACGTAACTTTGGAAATTAGAACGGAATAAGCATTATCTTAAGCGGGATTTCAACCAAGTGATACAGCTTACAAATTCAAAAAAGATACTTACTTAAATGGCTACAGTCAACATAAACAGACAGTCGTACAAAGTTATTACATGGGTTGCTGTCATTCATCATACCAAGTGGGTCCAACATCATAACTAATTCAGCATCACCTAAAATAATAAACAATAAAAACCACTATGAACAGTTCTGTATATTTATACCTATACTTTTTGTCATCCCAACACCATATGCACATGCTTGCTACATATTTTCATGCAATATTTTTCTGTTTCTTTCTACCGCATATTTTCTTCTTTTCTATCTTTGCTTCAATTTGTAGAAATTTTTTTAAAACACCAACATTATTCGAAACTAAAATTAACAGTCATATTATCTAAATGAAATCATTTCTGATTTTAAGACATATTATCTAAAAATTCATATATATTTAGGACTATGTTTTATGACAATAAGTCTACAAACATACCACAAATAGATATGCCTTCCTTAAAGTTGACAGAGATAGGCATGTCTTTGTCTTCTTCAGCTTCGTGGGCATGGTGTGGTTCTATTCCTACAAAGTTAATTAAAAAGTGAAATTACAAAAATACCGAACTACAATGAAAATTTAAATCGGAAAGTCCCTTATCAAATGGCAAAATCAAAAGCTCAAACACATCAAACGAATTGAAAACAACTGTCATATCCTTGAATTGGTACAGGCATTTCCTTATGTAAAAAATGGTGGATTAAATCTGGTTTTATGGCTAGCTAAAATACCGCAAAGTTGGTAAGTTTTTGGAAGTATAATAGAATATCATATAATGTTATTTCACTCGCATGTAGCTTCAGACCACAAGGTGACTACAATGAAATAGATAAGTTGTTTTCTACAATAACATTTTGATGAATTTGTGAGTTCGAAAATTTGGTGTTGATTGCAGATTTTTAACAGTCACTGTTCAATTTTTTTTTCTGGACTTAGGACGATTGTTATGCTTGAACTATTGTAAAGATACTAACTAGTCTATTTTTGTAGAGGTAGAACTATTGTAAAGATACTAGTCTATTAAATAGAGGTTGAACTATTGTAAAGATACTAGTCTTTTGTTGTAGAGGTTGAACTATTGTAAAGATACTAGTCTATTGTTGTAGATGTTGAACTATTGTAAAGATACAAGTCTATTGTTGTAGAGGTTGAACTATTGTAAAGGTACAAGTCTATTGTTGAAGAGGTAGAACTATTGTAAAGATACTAGTCTATTGTTGTAGAGGTTGAACTATTGTAAAGATACTAGTCTATTGTTGTAGAGGTTGAACTATTGTAAAGATACTGGTCTATTGTTGTAGAGGTTGAACTATTGTAAAGATACTAGTCTACTGTTGTAGAGGTTGAACTATTGTAAAGGTACTAGTCTTTTGTTGAAGAGGATGAACTATTGTAAAAGATACTAGTCTATTGTTGAAGAGGTTGAACTATTGTAAAGATACTAGTTTATTGTTGTAGAGGTTGAACTATTGTAAAGATACTGGTCTATTGTTATAGAGGATGAACTATTGTAAAGATACTAGTCTATTGTTGAAGAGGATGAACTATTGTAAAGGTACTAGTCTATTGTTGTAGAGGTAGAACTATTGTAAAGATACTAGTCTATTGTTGAAGAGGATGAACTATTGTAGAGATACTTGTCTACTGTTGTAGAGGTTGAACTATTGTAAAAGTACTAGTCTATTGTTGTAGAGGTAGAACTATTGTAAAGATACTAGTCTATTGTTGAAGAGGATGAACTATTGTAAAGATACTAGTCTATTGTTATAGAGGATGAACTATTGTAAAGATACTAGTCTATTGTTGTAGAGGTTGAAATATTGTAATAGTCTATTGTTGTAGAGGATAAACTATTGTAAAGATACTAGTCTATTGTTGAAGAGGTAGAACTATTGTAAAGATACTAGTCTATTGTTGTAGAGGTTGAACTATTGTAAAGATACTAGTCTATTGTTGTAGAGGTTGAACTATTGTAAAGATACTGGTCTATTGTTGTAGAGGTTGAACTATTGTAAAGATACTAGTCTACTGTTGTAGAGGTTGAACTATTGTAAAGGTACTAGTCTTTTGTTGAAGAGGATGAACTATTGTAAAAGATACTAGTCTATTGTTGAAGAGGTTGAACTATTGTAAAGATACTAGTTTATTGTTGTAGAGGTTGAACTATTGTAAAGATATTGGTCTATTGTTATAGAGGATGAACTATTGTAAATATACTAGTCTATTGTTGAAGAGGATGAACTATTGTAAAGGTACTAGTCTATTGTTGTAGAGGTAGAACTATTGTAAAGATACTAGTCTACTGTTGTAGAGGTTGAACTATTGTAAAGGTACTAGTCTATTGTTGTAGAGGTAGAACTATTTTAAAGATACTAGTCTATTGTTGAAGAGGATGAACTATTGTAAAGATACTAGTCTATTGTTATAGAAGATGAAATATTGTAAAGATACTAGTCTATTGTTGTAGAGGTTGAACTATTGTAATAGTCTATTGTTGCAGAGGATGAACTATTGTAAAGATACTAGTCTATTGTTGTAGGGGATGAAATATTGTAAAGATACTAGTCTATTGTTGTAGAGGTTGAACTATTGTGAAGATACTAGTCTATTGTTGTAGAGGTTGAACTATTGTAAAGATACTAGTCTATTGTTGTAGAGGTTGAACTATTGTAAAGATACTAGTCTATTGTTGTAGAGGTTGAACCGTTATAAAGATACTAGTCTATTGTTGTAGAGGTTAAACTATTGTAAAAATACTAGTCTATTGTTGTAGAGGTTAAACTATTGTAAAAATACTAGTCTATTGTTGTAGAGGTTGAACTATTGTAAAGATACTAGTCTACTGTTGTAGAGTTTGAACTATTGTAAAGGTACTAGTCTATTGTTGAAGAGGATGAACTATTGTAAAAGATACTAGTCTATTGTTGTAGAGGTTGAACTATTGTAAAGATACTAGTCTATTGCTGTAGAGGTTTAACTATTGTTAAGATACTAGTCTATTGTTGTAGAGGTTGAACTATTGTAAAGATACAAGTCTATTGTTGTATAGGTTGAACCGTTATAAAGATACTAGTCTATTGTTGTAGAGGTTAAACTATTGTAAAGATATGAGTCTATTGTTGTAGAGGTTGAACCGTTATAAAGATACTAGTCTATTGTTGTAGAGGTTGAACTATTGTAAAGATATGAGTCTATTGTTGTAGAGGTTGAACCGTTATAAAGATACTAGTCTATTGTTGTAGAGGTTAAACTATTGTAAAAATACTAGTCTATTGTTGTGGTATTCAAGTATTCATATCTTTGCTTTTCAATTTTTTTATTTGAATGTTTCTCCATAATTTGCAATATGTTTTATTTGTTTCGTCACCTGTAGAAGTATTTTTAGGGGAAGAAGGCTACAGGCATTAGACATTTTATTAATTTAGAAAAATGTGGGAGAAAATTGTTAACCAGACTGATTTTGAGGCCTTTTTTGTTCTTGAAGAAAAAAGTCAAATTTTGAAACGAATCGTCAGTCAGTACTTTGAAATACTTTGTGTTGTCCATCAATGCGAAAACAACAAAATCCATCCAACATAAGCTTCAAGAAGGCATATATATATCCACCACATTCGACAAAACTATGAACCATATCAACATATAGCTATCAATCGTTCAATTGTACCGTAATGGCTATCTCTCTATTGGACGATAATTTTTACTTACCGTCAATAAACATCATATCACCGATCATGGTGTCATCTAGTGGTAAGATAGTTACTTATCAGGAGCGGATCCAGCCATTTTTAAAAACTATATGTTCCCATTCAAATGCATTGATCGTCAAGAAAAAAGGGGGGTTCCAACCCCCGGACCCCCCCCCCCCCCCCCCCCCCACACACACACACTGTTTATCATCATTAGAAGAGTGGCGAAAGATACCAAAGGGACATTAAGGTAGATTTGGGGGGGGGGGGGGGTCTAAATTTAAATCCATAGAATGTTTTAATAATTTGTCAAAATGTAGTTTATATCATGCTTTTTTTCAAAAATGTAATAAAAAGTATGGGTCACTGGGTTTATTTACACGCTACAGGTTGTGCAAAATTGTCAGAATTTGTATAGATTATGCATGGAAAACCCAATTGTGTGAGATAAAACGAAAACTACACCATTGAATTTCAAGATAAAATATGAGAAGATAGCTCTAATAATATGCTTTCATATAAGAAAAAGATAAAATGGGGTCACCAAACTCGTTTTCTTGCTACATAAAAAAAAGGTAAATTCACAACACATTCTATTGTAATAGTTACTTTATCTGAGTTATCTTCCCTTCAACTGAGTTGTCTCCCCTTATGTGGCAAAGTTGAAAAAAAAATCAAACAAAAACATTTTGGTTTTTTTTGTAAAATACAGCCGTAAATATGATAAAACACATAATTTTCTATATTAAATGAAAAGTCTTACACATGAATTGCATACTACTCTCGAAATTTGCACATTTCATTAAAGATCTAGACCGATTGTTATCTGCTATTTCAAAATTCAAGACACACCAGCCTCCTTAAACATCATACCATCGAGCACAGCGTCATCTAGTGTGTAAGATGGTTACTTACGGTCAACAAACACCATACCACCGATCATGGCGTTGTCTAGTGTGTAAGATTGCTACTTACGGTCAATAAACATCATACCTGCGAGCATGACATGATCTAGTGTGTAAGATGGTAACTTACGGTCGATAAACATCATATCCCAAGCATGGCGTCATCTAGTGTGTAAGATGGTTACTTACCATCACCATACATCATACCATTGATCATGGCGTCATCTAGTGTGTAAAATGGTTACTTACCGTCAATAAACATCATACCACCGAGCATGACGTCATCTTGTGTGTAAGATGGTTACTAACCGTCAAATACCACCGAGCATGGCTTAATCAAGTGTGTTAAATGGTTAATACCGTCAAAAACATCATACCACCGAGCATGGCTTAATCAAGTGTGTTAGATGTTTGCTTATCGTCAATAAACATAATGCCACCGAGTATGGCGTCATCTTGTGTGTAAGATGGTTACTTACCATCATCCTACATCATACCACTGATCATGGCGTCATCTAGTGTGTTAGATGGTTACTTACCGTCAATAAACATCATACCACCGAGAATGGCCAAATCAAGTGTTTAGATGGTTACTTACCGTCAATAAACATCATACCACCAAGTATGGCGTCATCTAGTTTTGTAAGATGGTTACTTACCGTCCATAAACATCATACCACCGAGCATGGCGTCATCTAGTGTGTAAGATGGAACAGAACACATGGATGTGTGTGTTTCAGGAGTACCATGTCGACGGAGATAGATCGAAACAACATGAGGGTTCTCTATTGTGACGTTGTTAACTCGACGGTAACCGTTATTTCTCACCATAATCTTAAATGAAATGAGGGGTTTCATTTACTTTAATGACATGATTAACAAATAAAATGATTGGCAATCACCATTAATCTTAAAATGTCTAGGAAATTGAAGCAAAAAAGAAAAACCTAATATTATAAACGTTCATGACAAACTTTTGTAAATACCCTTAACAGTTCATTGAATGATAGACTCTTTAATGAAAATTCGAATAAGTGTTCTGTTAAGAAAAATATAAAATGATTTCCGAAAACTTGGATATACCTTGTTTAAGTACTTTCACTATTAGTTCTCGAAGTAGCGTATAATATGTAATGTGTGCTTAACTTCTGTGTCATTTGGTCTCTTATGGATAGTTGTCTTATTGGCAATCACATTACATCTTCATATGATTATATCATTTATCGGTTTTTGCATCATTTTTCATCAATATACTTTAAAATTCCTTAAAAGTGCACATTTCGCTTAAAAAGATGGAAAAAAACAGTTATCAAAGAAGTGCTGCTATCAGTTAAACTTCAGAATAAACTTTTTCTATTCTCCTTTTATTCGCATGCTTTACTAACTTTTAAGACACTTAACCAACAACAAATGTATGATTGTTGGAATCTGATATTATATACATGTATTTAAATATTACCCTATGAACAGCCGCTCCTTGGTGTTGCATTTGTTCCTTAAGAGTGCCTGAACCAGCAGTGAGCGTAATGGTGTGATTAAGTTGTACCATTTCAACTTCAAGTTCTACATCAATGTCTTAAAGTATATACGAATGAATAAGTAATTAAGAGGTATATATGAAGTCTGCTAGGTAAAGCTATTATTACCATTGTTCAAATTGCTAGAACAGAAAAATACAAAAGTGACATTAAGATATAGACTATAACTAAAGAAGAGTTGTCATTCAATTATATCTCATTCGATAGAATTGACATTAGACTGTAACTTTTACTTTATAATTGACATTAGATTGTAACGTTTACTTTTGAGTTGACATTAGACTGTAACTTTTAATCTAGAATTGACATCAAACTGTAACTTTTACTCTTGAATTGACATAAGACTGTAACCTTTACTCTAGAATTGACATTAGACTGTAACTTTCACTCTAGAATTGACATTAGACTGTAACTTTTACTTTATAATTGACATTAGACTGTAACTTTTACTCTTGAATTGACATTAGACTGTAACTTTTACTTTATAATTGACATTAGACTGTAACGTTTACCCTTGAATTGACATTAGACTGTAACTTTTAATCTAGAATTGACATCAAACTGTAACTTTTACTCTTGAATTGACATAAGACTGTAACCTTTACTTTAGAATTGACATTATACTGTAACGTTTACTCTAGAATTGACATTAGACTGTAACTTTTAATCTAGAATTGACATCAAACTGTAACTTTTATTCTAGAATTGACATTAGGCTGTTACTTTTACTCTAGAATTGACATTAGACTGTAACTTTTACTCTTGAATTGACATAAGACTGTAACCTTTACTCTAGAATTGACATTAGAATGTAACTTTTACTCTAGAATTGACATTAGACTGTAACTTTTACTTTATAATTGACATTAGACTGTAACTTTTACTCTAGACTTAATATCAAACTGTAACTTTTACTTTATAATTGACATAAGACTGTAACGTTTACTCAATAATTGACATCAGACTGTAACTTTCACTCTAGAATTGACATTAGACTGTAACTTTTACTCTAGAATTGACATTAGACTGTAACTTTTACTCTTGAATTGACATCAGACTGTAACCTTTACTCTAGAATTGACATTAGACTGTAACTTTTACTCTAGAATTGACATCAAACTGTAACTTTTACTTTATAATTGACATTAGACTGTAACTTTTACTTTATAATTGACATTAGACTGTAACTTTTACTCTAGAATTGACATCAAACTGTAACTTTTACTTTATAATTGACATTAGACTGTAACTTTTACTCTAGAATTGACATCAAACTGTAACATCTTACTTTATTATTGACATTAGACTGTAACTTTTACTTTATAATTGACATAAGACTGTAACTTTTACTTTATAATTGACATTAGAATGTAACTTTTACTTTATGATTGACATTAGACTGTAACTTTTACTCTAGAATTGATATCAAACTGTAACTTTTACTTTATAATTGACATTAGACTGTAACTTTTACTTTATAATTGACATTAGACTGTAACTTTTACTCTAGAATTGACATCAAACTGTAACTTTTACTTTATAATTGACATTATACTGTAACTTTTACTCTAGAATTGACATCAAACTGTAACTTTTACTTTATAATTGACATTAGACTGTAACTTTTTGCTAGAATTGACATTAGAATGTAACTTTTACTTTATGATTGACATTATACTGTAACCTTTACTCTAAAATTGACATTATAATATATCTCATTATACTTTGAAAAAAAAGTAAAGTTAGAATTGAAACAAGTCCATAGCAAGTAATACGTTATAACTGACATCAAAATGTTGTTGTTCAATAGTTTTATGTAGCGTATTACACATTTAGGTCTAAAGAGACAAATTCTTACCAAGTAACAATCGTAATCCGATAACTATCCCAATATCAGCAACGAACTCTTAGATTGAGCAAGCACTTATGAATAATATGATACAACATATCAAACGCAATCTTACATGTTAAGACAATAAACTGTTCGTGGTTTCTAACCTACCTGAAAAATCGCATACCCTAACACCTCTCTGTGCTGCTTCATACGTCATTCCATTGGTCATGTCATCGACAACAGCAATTATGTAGCCTAAAAAACACGAAGATATTGGTATTATTTGCTTTGCGATTAAAACTCTTTTTTCTCATTTTTTTTTTTAATATTCGTGTATAGTTAAAATGAGCGCTACTATAGCAGATGTAGTCATATAATACTAATTTGTATGGTAAGAAGTTCCACATACATAACATATGTGTGAATGGTACACATTTCCAAATGTGAATGGTAAAGCAGGTCCACATAACATTATTTCACGGTACTGAAGACCTACACAGACCTAAGTAATTTCTCGAGAGACATTTTTCGCCATTGCTTAATATGGTAGTTTTATACCTTATTTATTTCAAACCATTATAGTTCATTAAAGGTAGAGATCTATTGGAATAAAAACAGTGGCATCGTATGAAGTCAAAACAGAGTGAGACAGGTGGCTCCACAACCCATCATATGATCCTTTATATCTAAAAGTTGGAACGGGAACCAATTTAAATTGCTTTATTTTGTACCAAAGGATTTATTTCCAGTAAGTTTTCAAGTTTGTTCTTATATCTAATTCCAAATACTTCTTGTTGACTTCTTTGTTTCTAACAGAACCCTAGTTAGAATGGGGATGTAGAGCATTTTAGAATGGAAATCAGGGCTTTTTCTGTAAACAGAAATTGTCACCACATGGAACATGCAATAATCGGCATGTATCTTAGATATAAAAAAAAAACGGGTGAAACTGTGATAGAATAATCAATAAGTGTAGATACAAAGACACTGTAACTATCAACACATTCATGATAAGAACTGATGAAGTGATGATTTCGGATTTTCATCTTTTAAATCTTATTAGCGGATTTTTTTTAGTAAAAAAAGGTCTCTATTTTTTAAATACATTGTATCAATATAAACATAACATGCTCTAGCAAACTGATTGAACTGATTTTTGTTTGTTTTTTTTTTTTTTGCTTCTGTTCGTGTTTTTTTTTTTTTTTTTTTTTTTCTTGTCATTAAAGGTTTTGTATTTTATGAAAACATGATTCAAATGCTTATGAAAATAAGTCTCCTAGTAGAGCGCAAATAGGTTCCATATTTCAACTCTGAAGAATTGCCAAAAACAAGAGTTAAATGTTTCAAGGTTTTAACAATAATAAAAAAAACACTGTTCGAACTAACAACTACATCAGATTTTTCTCGAAACCAAAAGTTTTGGACCATCAATTGATCGTCAAAAAGCAACTTTGCTTGTAGTATTTGCAACCTTGATTTTAGACCAGTTACATATTTTATGAACGGAAAATCTAAAATCTCAATCTATCTTTAAGTCATGACAGTCTTGAAGCAAGGGCTACTAGGAAGATGGCGCCCGCGGGTAATGGTAGTCCAGCAACAACAGCACATACCAATCGATAGAATAATAATCGTATATTACCGATCGTACACCAAATGTTTCTTTAAAATCCATCAGACGTTTCCAGGACAAAGGTTAAGTAAGTCAAACGCATTACATATTCCATGAAAAGTGTTATCCTATCTTTCTTATCTAATATAACCCATCCATTTCAAATATTCAATAATTCAAAGAATTGTTATAAATAGATGTTTTCAAGTTATTCTGCTATTCAAATACTCTCAATTTTAATGTGCCAGCAGCTAAGTAATTCCGTCATAAAAGATGTTCAATAAACCCAAAGGACAGGCTAAAACTGCAAATCAGTATCAGGTTAAATACAAAGATCAAAAATTCAACGAGAAGCTCAATGTTAAAGTAACGCAAAATCCTTTGCCTTGCAAAAAAAATACCAGTTCACATATTACTCATGGTAGAATCCGGTAAGAAGAAAAACAAACGTTAATGTATTCAAACCTAGAAATATTTAACACATTCGATATATTTGTGACACTGACACTCAGTATTGATCACTTGACTTGCCCCTAAAAATTCAAACAGCAAATACATGCTTTAATTTTGAGCATCAGAAGGGAAAATGTATATGTTGTGAACAAGATGTAATTTTGTACAAATTATAATATGTACAGGGTTTTTGTACAAGTTATAAGTTCTTTGACACATACCTTTTTGCACCAGGTGATAAAAGTTTATCTTCTAAAATGTATCAGATTAATGTCTTAAATTCAAATTTATATACTTCAACCTAAAATTTATTGCTATTCTCCTTGTCCTCAAACTGGAAATAAAGACACCTGAATGTGAATGGTTTAAATTCTATTTTTATTTTTCTCCTTATACCAAAATCATATGCATAAAGGCTCTTTGTGTTCTTATAATGTTTGTGGATCAATGATCAGTATTAAAATGTATCATGTAGTCATGGAAATATGACAGAAATATGCGAAACAAAAGACTGTGTGCTTGCATCATCCATTTGTGTTAAGCGGTTCATAAAACACTGACAACTTGTACAAAAATTCTGTACAAATTACAATTTGTACACAACATATATACCATTTCTATTAGAATGTTGTCCTCTACTGTCTTTATGTTTGTGCAAAACAAATTCTGCGATATTTTCAAACTTAACAGTCAATCAAACTTTAAAAGTTATAAAGAAACATCGAAAACTATATTTTCAGGATATATTTTTCCTTTCTTTCTTTTTAAACCGAAAATACTGCTTTGGAATAACTATGAGTGTTTAAGAGAAGTAATTTCGTACATTTTATCGAGGTTAACTATATATAACGAAAAAAATCAATGAATAATTCAATAAGCCATATACCAGCTAAAGATAACATATAAGAAAAAATAACATTTGTCCATCAAAGAGGTGAAAGACCTGTTTTATTTATGTCTTCCATTGTTATTCAAAATTGTTTGTCCGATGTTTACAATTACAGTGTAGATATCACATCGATTAGCATTGCATTATTTTTAACTTAAATAGTAAATTATATTGTTTGAAATGGAAGCAATGTGTGTTTTATTCTTAACGAACAATGATACTATTTCAATAGCAACTTATACTCATACACAAACTATACTAAAAGGTAGCAATTAGACAATGGCTTGCTGTCACCGGTATGTGTTCTAGTTATAAGAGTAGTATTATGGTGTGTTATTATTGGCACTTAGAGCATGATTCGCGATGTAACAGCCGGGTTTGTTTTGTTGAATCATACTGTACTGTTACAAAAATATGCAATGCTTACCTGCTCCGCATGGTATTTCTGCTTGGTCAATGTTAATGCTTGATGACAAGGACCATTCTGTATGCACAGCTCCCATATCTGCAACAAACAGGGTATGTGTATTGATACATGATCTACATATAACAATGTGTGGTAAGAATACAAAATATATTATTAACATGATAAAGACACACCAAACATAACAGGGTGTCCTGAAAACATGTAGTTCAATAAATGTACTATGAACGTATGAGAAGGCATTACGGTAATTCCATTTATAAATCTAATAAGCTTAAACATTGTCCTACAAATCTTATTTTTCATCTTTAATGATTTAATAGACTTATGGTTATAATATACTGTTGTTGTTCATTGTATCTAGTTGCAGCATCAATTCGCTAATTTAAAAAAAATCAGTACAGTTCGTTTTGGGCATTGCACTAGATCGTCCCGGTCTTCCTGTACTGTGACGCCGTTGTATGAAGATGACGATGATGATGACGACGATGATGATGATGACGACAATGATGATGATGACGATGATGGATGATTGATGATGAAGATGGTTGCTTAACATCCAGTGGAAAATATTTCCTGCATGTTCAGGACAAAAACAAATTAACAATCAATACAATAAGTAGATCCTATAATAGAGGCCGTCCGGTATAAGTCGGCGAAATTTCAACTGAGTGTATAGTGGACAGGAACAAAAATTTTGACTTGTAACAGGCTACCTACGTACCCTCAAAGATTTGTTGTAAGGGTTTTAACGTGAAGAGAGCGTAGCACTCTCTCTACAAGAGGCATCGGATTTAACGCTCCCCTTCTGACAGCACTTGGCTACGTATTTGTACATCCTGCACAGCTAAACGGGCATCCACATTGGCAAGGGTTTAACAGCCGGTCGAAAGAACACCCAAGTGACCAATATGGCTTCTTTTCTCTCTCTTGTTAAATGCTGTTTGATGTCTTTTCTCTCTCTTGTTTAATGCTATTTGATGTCTTTTCTCTCTCTTTTTCAATGCTGTTTGATGTCTTTTCTCTCTCTTGTTCAATGCTGTTTGATGTCTTTTCTCTCTCTTTTTTAATGCTGTTTGATGTCTTATAAACGTGTATCCAATATCTCTTTTTATTTATACGACAAGTGATATTTCTCTAAGTTATAAATCTTTCGAGTTAAAAATATCAGAAGCTAAATACAACAAAATGTTAAGTACCTTTAAAACAGTGTTTAAGCATTGCAAGACTAACAACAGTCAACTAAAAGCAAATAAAAACTGCCGAAAACTCAAGATTGTAGATTCAGGGGGAAAATACGGTTGTCATTTTCATTTATACTTTCTGAGGGTAGTACATATCAGCAAACTTTATTATTTTTTTTTTCAAAAAAATACATACTATATGGATTATGATGAAGTGGTACAGCATGCATAGTATTGGGGAAACTGGAGAAATGAAACGTTAGATTTGCATTGTGTAGACTGGTATGGCTTCCATTAAACATCAGTTCAAATTCTGGTCCACAGACATCCTACAAATATCAACAGTAGTCTTAAACCAAAATCCTATATATCATTATCATTATCATTATTATCATTATTATTACCATTATTGTTATTATCATTATCATTATTGTTATTATCATTATCATTATTGTTATTATCATTATCATTATTATCATTATTGTTATTATCATTATCATTATCTTCATTATTGTTATTATCATTATTATAATCATTATTGTTATTATCATTATCATTATTATCATTATTGTTATTATCATTATTAGTAGTAGTAGTAGTACTATTGACTTTTGATGAAGTTGATACAAAAATAATATATGTACGTTGGATGGAACAGTAATTGTGTACTTACATGCATATTGGAGCCACGCTCCAGAAATACAACTCTAGACATTCCTGGACACATGAATGATAACGGTCCGGATTTACCATAATCGGCTAAAACAGAGAACATTTATAAAAAATGTAGTTGGAAACATTTGTATTATCTCTTTTCTATGTAATTGTTTTACACATTATTCTATTTCAAGTGTCATATGTTCAAGTGAACTGAGAATTTATTCCGTGGCTTGGGTTTTTTTTTTCAAAACAAGAAAGTATTGATGTATACTGTATACCAAAGTAATATGTTTTTGTTGATATTTGAAACAGTTAATTACAAGTAAGAATTACCAACCAGAACGTTTGCATCTTTTGAAAACAAAAGAGGTTTCTCCTTGACATTTTTGCGACAACGTTCGGTGAAATGTATGTTTGTTGCTGAAATCTCTTTTGTCAATCAGTCGTAAACAATAACGTTACTTTTAGCAAAATTGTAACACGCAAACCTACTTGTATAAAATTAACCTAAAATTGTGATATACTTTCACGTACATATCATCATCATGTCACGAAATATTTTTTGTAAAATTTTGAATAATTGTTTGAAAACATTAATGAGGTGATATGAATCGATAGTTTGACAAAAAAAAATAGTTTACTCAAAAAGTAACCACAAATCTTTCAAAAGCATATTTGAACTCATTTCCTCGACAGAGAATTGGGTGCAGCTTCTCAACTTGCTTTGAAATCATAAACTTTTTGCAATTACCAGAGTGTATTTGTTTTAAAAGCCAACTCGACATCTCAAGGCCATTCTGGATATAATAAGACAAGAACGTAATGCCATCAAAATAATGATGTATGTTTGAATTGTGATATGCTTTCCAACTATTAAAAACTGTATGCATTTCCGAGCAATTTAGTAAAAATTCCTTTAGAAAAAATGAGTCAACGTTATCTTAAAAATAAACTGATTTTTAATCCAAATATGGGACTCTTCGGATTGGGTGTACATTATCAGACCTGGTGCCGATTTATAGCAGTTTCTATATGAAATATGTATAGATTATCGGGTTTCCTACATATTGATATCGTAAAAATATCATCCGCGATAAATAATATGTACCTGTTTGGCGAGTGATCGCAGCGAACGCGCTAAAAAAAACTTCACATTGTGTAGAGCAGCTGATATTTTACGATATCTATACGTAGAAACCTATCGTTCTATTACAGGTCTTTCTCCCCCTTAGACAGTCTTACGCTGGATGAAAGGGAGCTTGAGAACGTCTCCTCATACATTGTCACTTCGCTGATGATGATTGAACACGTCTCAAAGCCGTGATACGAGAATTACGGAGCGACTTTGTAGAGTGATAAAGGCAACGGGAAAGACGATAAATATTTTAATACAGTAACTTTTTGGACACCCGATTTCGCCGGAAGTTTTTTGCGGGGATTGTGTTGCTCAATCTTAAGTAGTTTTTATGTGTGATCGTTTTGTTGACTTTCGTTGTTGAAAACGCATTTTGCAGTTTATTCGGAATCCGGTTAAATCTATCGAGACAACGAAAAAAAAATTGAAATGACGAATATTTCAATCGTGATGACGAATTGATAAATAGAGATAAGGGATCAACAAATCGAGATAACGATACAAAAATATCGTGATAACGGACAAGTTAATCACGATAACGGATATGGAAAAATGAAGTGTGTCCCTTCAGGAATTCTGAAGAAAATAGCATTTGTTGAAAAATGAAGTGGAAATGTGATAAGAATGAGCAGGAGCAAGTTTTTGTTTGGGTATCTGGTAATTTAAAAGTTTTAACCGATTAAATGAGGAAAATATCTTCTAATTATTAAATAATGAGGATAAAGAAAGATATGCGATACTGCGTGGGTAAATTCATATTGATAACATGTCTTAAAAATGTGTATGACCATAAATCCTACCTAAGAGGTGAATACATGTATGTATTGGCCGTACAGTGACTTAATTATAGTTGCTTACATCTTCGTCTCTGGTGGATAGTTGTCTCATTGATTTTATATTGTATTGTAATCGGTCTAATACTAGTACTGTAAATTATTGATTATTTGTAATATAAATGTGTGCATTTTTGTCATTCTATCTATCTGGTACAATGTAAGCCTTTCTCTCTGTATTGCATTTTTTTCATATTTTTTTTATTTATTTTTTTACCTCATGTTAACATGTATGGGTTTGGAGTAAAATATTCCTTTGATTTGGTTTACAGTTGTTCGGCTTTTTACCTTTTTCATTAAGCCAATAAAGGTTTAATCCTTTTCAAATTGAAATATACTAGTAACTTTGATTGCTCCGTTGGGTTCTTCTTATTTTTTTCCCTTGAGTATCGAAACAGTGTTACTATTGTTAATAGAATAACAAATTTCGTAAGAATGTATCCATAGTTAGTCAAGTATTTGAACGTTCATGCTTAACATCTTAACTGTGATGTTATATTTAAAATGTCTGCACTAAGCACCAACCGTTTCATACGTCAAGGGGTATCGATTTTTTTTTTAACTTTTTTTTTTTAAATGATTCAAAACTTGGGTGAAAAACATTTTGTAATAGAGGTGACAAAATACGTTGTGCACTAGAAGAAACACATTTTTGAGTGCATACTTTTGAATAAAATAAGTCTTTTCGTGCATTTTTTCTCATTTCAATTTAAATCTCGAACGGTTGTAGAAAATATTACATCTCACAATCGAAAATAGTAATATCTGTATTTTGAATTTTTGCAAATTCATACCTGTCCTAAGTCAGGAATCTGATGTTCAGTAGTTGTCGTTTGTTGATGTGGTTCATAAGTGTTTCTCGTATCTCGTTTTTTATATAGATTAGACCGTTGGTTTTCCCGTTTGAATGGTTTTACACTAGTAACTTTTGGGGCCCTGTTCGGTGTGAGCCAAGACTCCGTGTTGAAGACCGTACTTTGACCTATAATGGTTTACTTTGATAAATTTTGACTTGGATGGAGAGTTGTCTCATTGGCACTCATACCACATTTTCTTATATCTATAAACAACAAATAAATACAAGGAAATTCTACATTTTCTTTATGTCACCGTATCGGATATTAGACACTTTTGAGACGAAACATTCATTGCCGGGGTACTTGAGACACAGTGTTATATATAGAATTTAGGTTCCCGTCAAAAACTAGTAATAGATATTCCTTTAAAATATCACTAAAAACCCATTACAGTAACCTTTACAGAGTTTTCCGCTCATCCATTGATCAACAAGGTACATGTATATCTTGAGGTTGTTAAAGATTTAAAAATTGTATGATTTTAGATTTTTAAAGTTTCAATTGATCTGTTCGATATTTAAAAAGAAATATTTTATTTTTATTAACAAACATGACCATAATAAATAAGAATGTTACCTGTCCAAATCCCACAAGGCAGTATTAAACTGATTAGTGTTATCCGCCATACATTGTCCATGGTCATCATTACCTAACTATCTGGAGAAAAGATGCTTTAAATGGCAGAATCAAATTACGTTACCACGGTAACAAACGTTGTAAACAGTTTGTCAGGTAGGATTGATTTTTCGTTTCACAACAGATACAGGGTGTAAATTAGGACGAGAGAAGGTAAATATAGGTATGGCAGGTGAATATTGTAAAGATGCTAACAATCACCTACTGGAATTGAATGAAAATTAGCATAATATCGGATTAAATGCAAAGTAGTGCCATTGGGAATAGAGAAGATGATAGAATGTACCCTAATTACACTCTAAAATACATGTACTAACATATCAACGGAACAGCCTAATTACACTCTGAAATACATGTACTAACATATCAACGGAACAGCCTAATTACACTCTGAAATACATGTACTAACATATCAACGGAACAGCCTAATTACACTCTGAAATACATGTACTAACATATCAACGGAACAACCTTTTTGTTGCTGTTCTTCTCCTTAAATAATTAATGGAATATATACATTCCTAATAAAAGAAGTTGAAAAACAATATTTTTTATAAGAATGACAAAGGCTTACCTAAGCAAAAACAATTCAAAATCAATAAGAAAATCATTATCGGAAACAATTCCAAATTGATTAAGAACAGCACACTATTTGTTTTCATTTTCCAATTACCGATTGTGCTTCTGATTTTATGATTTCTTGCAAAGGAAATCAGGGAAACATGAAAAATCATAAAAAAAAATGCAAATTGTGTTCTTGACCTAAGTCTTAAAAAGTTTTAATAGACTGAACCTAACGACCTTCGATAACGGAATGATGGAACAGACAATACAGTGAGACGAAAGTAATACGTAAATGATTCAGCAACCCAAAGAAACAAAACAAGCAAAAAAAAAAATCCCATGTGAATATAGTTCTTTTTTTATAATACTATTATAGACGCAATTTCTAAATGGCATCGATTTTGGAAAAGATGTAAATAGTTTAAATTGGGACTTTCAAAGATATGCCTTAAAAATTAAAACCCTAAATGACAAACGCGTTTAGAAACATTACTGGACAGAAACCAACAAAGTTCTAAATTCGTACAGGCACATGAATATGCGGCCGGATTCAACAAGACCTTTATGAAAGTCTGTTCAAATATTGGATCTACTTTTGGGACAGGACATGATGGCATCACATGTC